GGGTACTTGTCAACCTTGTGTTCGCAGTCTAATTAGTTCATGATTTGTCAACATAGTGCTACAGTACACGTGTACTAATGATAGATTAATTATGCTTAATAAATTCGTTTCACAATTACTAACAAATTTTATAATTTGTTTTTTTAGTAGTACGAGAATACCCGTACGATAACGCTATATGACACCTGACGTAACGTCTCCTGATTTAAACAAGCGTTGCTGGCGAAATTTTATACTGCTTTCCGAACCAGCTGACAGCACGTATCAAAGGCGCCGAAAGCTACACTGCATGCGCAGATAGTTCCGAGTCCCGATGTACCTACTATCGTCTCTTTGAAGACCCTACCTAGTACGTACACGTAAACTGCTGTGTTCTTACTTGTTAGCAGTCCCAACAGTATATTAATGATGATTTTTATCTTTATTAAATAACTTATCATATAGATAAAACGTTATCATGGTAATATAATTAATGAAGAAAGAGAGTAAAAATCCTAGAAATGATTTCCTCATAAAAAAATCAGGTCTTCTCTTGACCCAATGCACCAAGAAACCATGAAATCGTCATTGGAGAGAAACCACCAGTTTTTAGAGGGCTCGTGCCGCACTCTCATTGAAAAAAGAAGATAGAGTTAGAAGAGAGAAAGAGAAAATAATTATTATTCATAAAAACTATGAGTTGAAAAACAAATATTTTTTTGTGCGATATCTATATTATAAAAACTTAGTTTTTTTTTTTATTGAGACCACCCTTCACGCTGATACTACCTCCGGTCACATATGCCTAAAACTCTTCTGAGCTGGCTGACTTTCGCTCCGGCCAACCGCCGGCGAGTCGAGGGCACGCGTGCGGCGACCGCGCGACACCAGCCAGCAGCCGACCCGACCGCCTTTACATTCTCAAAAATCCATCTCAATATACAGTACTGTACCTGTAGTCCTGTACTACTCCATAGCTTTGATTTGATCCCAAATTAAGGCCTCGATTAAATCTAGAGTCTAAAGTTTTAGGGTATTATATCGAGTGTCACGGAAGGTGTTGTATAGGGTGTAGCATATTTGCTGGTTGATTTTAGCCAGAGCTTATCTACCAACCAGCAGTATTTTTCTCTCACAACAAACCAGCATCAGCCGGCCTTATCAACTCCAGAAACCAACCAGCGAACAGGCCGGCTAATAAAAAATCCATCATTAATCCGCGAGACGAATTTATTAAGCCTAATTAATCCGTCATTAGCACATGTGCTACTTAACACTACATTGTCAAATCATAAACTAATTAGACTTAAAAGATTCGTCTCATAAATTAGTTATAAACTATGTAATTAGTTATTTTTTTAAATATATATTTAATATTCTAGGTACGTGTCTAAATATTCCATAGTACAGGAACTAAGGTGGTGTTTGATTGTCTCTTCTAAATTTTAGTCGCTGTCTCATTGAATATTTAGACAAATGCATGGAGTATTAAATATAGACTAATTACGAAACTAATTATATAGTTTGCGACTAATTTGCGAGACGAATCTTTTGAGCCTAATTAGTCCATGATTTGACAATGTTTGTTACAGTACATATATGCTAATGACGAATTAGTTAGACTTAAAAAATTTATCTCGCGGAGTATCAATGGATTATGTAATTTAAATTTTAGTATCAAACAGTAGTTGGGGACAGGGACGGGAGCACGGCACTGTCAATTTGGCATGGGGCGTGTTTAGTTGGCCGAAATTTGGACGTGTAAAGTTTGCATAGTGTCAGATTTTTTTTCTGTAGCATTTTGTTTGTATTTAGTAATAATTGTCTAATCATTGATTAATTAGGTTTAAAATATTCGTCTCGCAAAGTACAGCCAAACTATGCAATTAGTTTTTAATTTCATCTATTTTTAGTATCCCATATATGTATCGAAAGTTGGATGTGACGAATAATTTTCTTTTTCGTGATGCAAAAGTTGGAAACTAAACAAGGCATGGTCCAGTCCAGTCCCCGTTGCAGCTGGCCCCAGTTATTGCAACGTGGACAGGCCGCCCGGATTGCAGGAATTGTTAGCTGACCGTCCCACAGATGCATTCATCCACGTCTGTCCTGCATCCAAGGGAGCTAGCACCACCAGCTTTCATTCAATGCGCTACTGTTTCAGTGAAAGACGGCAGTTGTAGCACTCAAGCTGTGTGCGCATCAAACACTGTAGCACTCAAGAATGAATGCTTAGCACAACCACTGAACTGACTGTGTTTGTTTAGGAATTTGATTTCAAAAGTCGTTCGTTTTAAAATAGTTACTGGACTAATTATCTGTTAAATCGTCTCGCAATATTTCACCCGCGTGCAATTAGTTTTTTTTAAATGTCTACATTTAATGCTTCAAAACTACAAACATTCGACGTGGTGTTTTTTTGAAAGTTGGGGTGGGAACTAAACAGGGCTTTTTGACCCCAAATTAGCTCCATGTTTGAACATTATTGCATGAAGCATTAAATGTAGATGAAAATAAAAACTAATTGCACAGTTTGGTGGGAAATTACGAGACGAACGTTTTGAGCCTAATTAGTCCATGTTTAAACATTATTTATCAAATAAAAACGAACGTGCTACAGTAACCCCAAAATCCAAATTCACCCAACTAAATAAGGGCTGAAAGCAGACCTACTAGCTGGAGTGCCCATCTATCTATCTATCAGTATGTATATATATACCACTAAAGCAAACAGAAAGCGTGCGTCTTTCCTGCTACCATCCAAGCGTACGTAGCAAAAGATGTAGCTAGCGTCGGAGAGTTGTATTTCTATTCGTCTACTAAAGTTGCTAGCAAAAGGATTGATGCAGACTTTGTCGAGTAACATCCGGAAAAGGATCACCATGACCGGCCTGCGTCTCACGTCGAAGGAGAACAAGGAAAAAAGTTTCAGAGTGCATCATTGCAACTATATATGCATGCAAACACTAGATGAGATTGTTTAACGATTAGTATAGCCGCTATAAAAAAATGTTTCTCTTTTTGGCCTCATTGGCTTGTCTTAAAATCCGACTTATTCGATTTCTTTTTTTTTTCAACCGGAACAGTGTTTTTCTCTCACAACAATTCAACCGAAATAGTATTTTATCTTGTTTTTTTAGCCAAAGCGAACGGGCCGATTCATCTTCTCGTTTCAATGGAACTTCGTATATTCGATCGCTGCAAGTGTAGGCCGTCAGTTGTTCGATTCTCCTCTCTGTCAAATTAAAACAAAGCCAAGAACATCTCTCGATCTCTTACTGTGGCCGATCGAGTTAGTTTTAAGCGTAAAAATGATATATATGAACTGTAAACGGAAGACGTTTTCAGCATGAGTGGCTTTGAAGTTGACAGAGGCACATCAGATTGAGCTTTGAAGGGCTCGCTGGGGCAGACAGTACAAACAGACACCGTCGGAGAATAAAGCGCCGGCGGCGGTGGTTGAGGAACACTGGTGGTCCATACATAAAACGCGGCAAAGGAGCAGCTGCAGGAGCAGGACCATCCCATGCCATCCATCAGCCTGTTCGCTTGTTGGTTTCAGTCAGCAGGACCATCGGTGATTTTCTCCATAAACTAACACCAATCATCCTGTAGAAATCCACCGCATGTCTCCATATCTTTTTTGTGTGGCCGCCTCCATCATTCCCGGTCTCATGCGATGCCTGCACAACTCATGGCAGATTCATTTGTTAGTGGTCTGCATGCAGCTGCAAACGCAGGAAACTAAAAACCGACCATGCAGATTAAGCTGGGCTATACACTGAAGCTATCTGAATTAAGCTGGGCGGCTAATTCCTTGAGAACTTGACAAGTGCCCATCAGCAAAACATAGGTCCCGTTCGCTTGTCTTAAAAACGCCGGTCAACAATTCGGTGGAGGACCGGTAAAGGACCAGCGAGAGAGACGTACTCTGCTTAGCTAGTACTGTACGAGGCACAGGACCAGTACACACAGTGACAGTGTATTAGTGTACGGAGTAGTATATACTCCAGGCAGCCAATGCAAAGCTGAAAAGATACAAACAGAGGAAAGCAGCACTCCAGGCAGCTTTGGTTGGGTCATTGACCCATCCATGGCTGTATGCGGAGGCGAAGTAAACGCCGGTCAAGGACCGGAGAGAGAGAGAGAGAGAGCGAGAGACAACGGCAGGACGGGACGGGACGGGACGGAACGGAAGGCATGGGCATGACCCTGACCCATGAGAGACGGACGAGAGGCACCGCGCTGCACCATCCTGATCCTGACAGGCAAGTGTGTGTGTGTGTGTGTGTGACGCCGTCCGAGAGAGACGCCCGTCCACACACCGACACGGCATCCGTCGCGCTAGCTGCTGTGCTGGCTGGGAACTGGGATTAGGCTGCAGGTGGCAGAGCAGAGAGACCAGAGCGCTGCTGTGCATGTCCTAATCGAGGGAGGTTAGCAACGGTGGTCCCGAAACCGAGCATCGAGTGTGCAGGTTGCCCACGTTCAAAAAGTGTGCAGGTTGCCCGCAGATGCTGCCGTGCTGCTGGGATGGATGATGTGGTGCCCCGGGGACGCACACGACAGTCCAAAGGCGGACACGGGTCCACGGGTGCTTGACCCTTGGGCCTTGTTTAGATGTAAACAAATTTGGTGAAACGCTACCGTAGCGGTTTTCGTTGTTATTTGGTAAATAGTATTTAATCATAGTCTAATTAGGCTTAAAAGATTCGTCTCGTAGATTTCGTCTAAACTGTATAATTAGTTTTATTTTTTATTTATATTTAATGCTTCATGCATGCGTCTAAAGATTCGATGTGATGAAGAATCTTGAAAAATTTTATAAATTTTTTTGCAACTAAACTGGACCTTGGAGCAACAGTCCAAAGGCCAACCGGCCTCTCCTCACCTCTCTCATCCAGCAGCCAGCAGCCAACAAACACCTGCCACTCCCTCCTCCAGCCAGAGAGGCATATGTCATCTCATCTGCCACCATTGTAAGGTGTCCTAGGAGTCGCGGCGTGCCGACTGCCGTGCCGATGTCCGAGTCCAGCAGGGCGTTCCACCTCGACGCCCCGTCGTCCTCGTCCGCCGCCGACGGCGACCAGCGCCATGGGAAGCCCGCCTCGGCGTCGGGGCCCCGCGGGGTGGCCGCGGGCGGCGGCGGCGGCAGCGTGCCGTTCCACAGGCTGTTCGCGTTCGCGGACGGCGCCGACGCCGCGCTCATGTCCCTGGGCACGCTCGGCGCGCTCGCCAACGGCGCCGCCATGCCGCTCATGACGGTCCTCTTCGCCCGCCTCATCGACGCCTTCGGCGGCGCCGCCGACACGCGGGGCGTCCTCGCGCGGGTCTCCGCCGTCTCGCTCCAGTTCCTCTACCTCGCCGCCGCATCCGCCGTCGCATCCTTCATGCGTAAGTACAGTCCACACACACATACTCACTGCTCCGACTGCTGCTCCACGCCACCGACACTCTCACTGACGCACATCGATCCATCCATCCACACAGAGGTGGCGTGCTGGATGATCACCGGCGAGCGGCAGGCGGCGCGGATCCGGGGCCTGTACCTGCGGGCCATCCTGCGCCAGGAGGTGGCCTTCTTCGACCAGCGCGCCACCACGGGCGAGGTCGTGGGCCGGATGTCGGGGGACACCGTGCTCATCCAGGACGCCATGGGCGAGAAGGTCGGCAAGTGCATCCAGCTGCTCGTCGCCTTCGCGGGCGGCTTCGCCGTCGCCTTCGCGCAGGGCTGGCTCCTCGCGCTCGTCATGCTCGCCACCATCCCGCCGCTCGCGCTCGCCGGCGCACTCATGTCCAGCGTCGTCGCCAGGATGGCCTCCCTCGGCCAGGCCGCCTACGCTGACGCCGCCGGCGTCGTCGACCAGACCATCGGCTCCATCACAACAGTAAGCCGACACGGATCGATGCTCGTTCGTTCATGTCGGTCCGATTCGATGACACGTCCCTGCAACACACACGCCCCCCACCACAGGTCGCGTCTTTCACCGGCGAGAGGCGGGCGGTGGCCAAGTACAGCAGCTCGCTCAAGAGGGCGTACAGCTCCGGCGTCTGGGAGGGGCTCGCCGCCGGCGTCGGCATGGGCATCGTCATGGTGCTCCTCTTCTGCGGCTACTCCCTGGGAATTTGGTACGGCGCCAAGCTCATCCTGGACAAGGGCTACACCGGAGCACAAGTCATGAATGTCATCTTCGCAGTGCTCACTGGCTCACTGTAAGTTTTTTTTTCCCATCTTCACTAACGCACGCATTTCCGACAGAATTTAGTTGCACCAGTAATCTCATCTCAATAAGTGTCAGTCAAGATCATGACAAGTGTGTGACCAAATAGTCTTTATCTGCAACTGCAAGAAACGATTGGGTGGTTTCAGGAACCAAAAGACTACGAAACAAATGTTCATGTTGCTTTCTCTGTACACCTACATGATAAATCTATCAGGATTCTGCCCCTGATTAAGACATGTCAGGCAGGCCACTCGGCAGTTTGACGGTGATAAAGCACTAGATGTTGTCAGCAAACAAATAAAGCTAGACCAACCCTGCACGTTTGGTTTATTCAGTTAGCGTCAGCAGCAAACAAATAAAGCTAGACCAACCCTGCACATCGAATGTTTGGTTTATTGAAGTATTAAATAGCGCTAATTACGAAACTAATTGCAAACTTGCGATTAATTTGCGAGACGAATCTTTAAGCCTAATTAGTCCATGATCCGACAACGTGGTGCTACAGTAAACATATGCTAATGATAGATTAATTAGGCTTAAAAATTTCGTCTCGGAAATTAGTCTCCATCTATGTAATTGGTTTTATAATTAATTTATATTTAATACTCCTTATTAGCCTCTAAACATTTGATGTGACATAAATTTTAGGAGTGACTAAAGAACCAAACACCCCCAAAATGCAGATCATGCCAACCTTGCCTTTTTGTTTTAACAGGTTCATACCATCCATAGCAAGGTTGGCAGGAACCGAGCATTTGTGTGTGTTTTTGAAAAGGGCCACTTGACCCAACCTTCTTTGGGGGCCATTGTAGGAGCCAGGGAACCCTGGCTGGCCAGCTCCCATCCTTGGGGCTTTAACCGCTTGCTCTATGAGCAGTTCCTAAACCGACCATTAGTGGTGTTAAGTAACCATAATTGTCCAACCCAACCGAGTCGAATTCCCATGAAATTCACTTTTGTCTTTTGACAAACCTTTTCACTTTTGTCTTTTGCGCTGGCACAGTGTCATATCATGTACAGGAGATAATTTTCTATCTTTAGTTAGTGCTAAATGATGCATCTACTGCACTCTCAGCATGCTTTCTTGTCACCGAATTCAAAGTACTGTTGATTGCACATGGAGTTCTTCCATCAGACCAACACAACTGGTTAATTTAGCAAGCTCACCCTCTTGCTATTGCAATCACCAGAGCTCTGGGCCAGGCATCTCCAAGCATGAAAGCGTTTGCTGGAGGGCAGGCTGCAGCATACAAGATGTTCGAAACAATCAACAGGGAGCCTGAGATTGACGCGTACAGCATGACAGGTAGGAAGCTGGACGACATTCAGGGAGACATTGAGTTCAGGGATGTTTACTTTTCATATCCAACAAGGCCTGATGAACAGATCTTCAGTGGTTTCTCCCTTGCCATACAGAGTGGCACAACTGTCGCACTGGTTGGGCAGAGTGGGAGTGGCAAGTCGACGGTTATCAGCTTGATTGAGCGGTTCTACGACCCTCAGCTCGGTCAAGTTCTGATAGATGGTGTTGATCTAAAGGAGTTCCAGTTGAGGTGGATCAGAAGTAAAATCGGTCTCGTGAGCCAGGAACCGGTCCTGTTCACTGCTAGCATAAGAGACAACATAGCTTATGGCAAGGACAACGCAACCGATGAGGAGATCAGAGCTGCAGCTGAGCTTGCTAATGCCTCCAAATTCATAGATAGAATGCCCCAGGTCATAATACTGCTTATCCTATGAATTTACAAATTTCATCACTGATGATGAATTTTAAAGAAAATATATGAGACAAGCTACCCTGCTATGTGTTTGAATTTCTTGATGTTTTTGACATTTACCCAGGGTTTTGCTACTTCAGTTGGTGAACATGGAACACAACTTTCAGGTGGGCAGAAGCAAAGAATAGCCATTGCCAGAGCGATTCTCAAAGATCCAAGAATCTTACTATTAGATGAAGCAACAAGCGCTCTAGACACCGAATCCGAAAGGATTGTACAGGAGGCTTTTGATAGGGTCATGACAAACCAGACAACTGTCATAGTTGCTCACCGTTTGAGCACTGTCAGGAATGCTGACACCATTGCTGTGATTCATCGAGGATCAGTAGTCGAAAAAGGTATTTCCTTTTTACTGAAATCATAACATGCCTTTTCTGTTATCAATTGCTTGACTCCTTAAAAATCTGACACTTCATCAGGTTCACACCATGATCTTGTAAGGGATCCAGAGGGAGCTTACAGTCAACTGATACAACTACAGGAAGCGAGCCATGCTTCTGAGGGTGCAAACTACCAGAACAAGTCAAGCAGGAAGGGTGATTCTGGGATTCACTTAGGCAAACAAATGTCGACAAATCAGTCACCAAGCCGAAGGTCACCACAGAACAGCAGCAGCAACCACTCGTTCTCAGTATCACATGGTGTGCCTCTAGAAATGGACGTCCAGAACAGTTCATCAAAGAATATAGATGAAGAAATTCAGCACGAAGTGCCTCTCAGTCGCCTCGCCTCACTTAACAAACCCGAAATCCCAGTGCTTATCCTTGGTTCTATTGCTTCGGCTGTCAGCGGAATGATCTTCCCGATCTTTGCCATACTCCTATCGAATGTGATCAAAGCATTTTATGAGCCACCACGTATTCTGAGGAAGGATGCTGAGTTTTGGTCATCTATGTTCTTGGTATTCGGTGCAGTGTACTTCTTGTCACTTCCTCTTGGCTCATACCTTTTCTCAGTGGCTGGGTGCAAGTTGATAAGAAGGATCAGACTGATGACATTTGAAAAGGTGGTCAATATGGAGATCGAATGGTTCGATTACCCAGAGAATTCAAGTGGAGCAATAGGCGCAAGGCTATCGGCGGATGCAGCAAAAGTTCGGGGGCTTGTGGGTGATGCATTGCAACTGGTGGTGCAGAACTTGGCTACTTTAGTTGCCGGTCTGGTAATTGCTTTTGTATCAAACTGGGAGCTCTCTCTTATTATACTGGCTCTGATACCGCTTATTGGCCTCAATGGATGGATCCAGATGAAGTTTATTCAGGGATTCAGTGCAGATGCAAAGGTATGACAAGAAGCCATAACAAATGTTGCTGTTTCTTCAGTTGGTTGATCATATTATTCACATTTCATCAATTCACTGATTCCGCGTTATGATTTCAGTTGATGTATGAGGAGGCAAGTCAAGTAGCAAATGATGCAGTGAGCAGCATAAGGACTGTGGCATCATTTTCAGCTGAAGAAAAGGTGATGGATTTGTACAAGAAAAAATGTGAAGGACCTTTAAGAGCAGGGATCAGGACAGGAATAACAAACGGTATTGGCTTTGGGGTTTCCTTCTTCTTGCTGTTTGGAGTCTATGCAGCCAGCTTCTATGCTGGTGCACGGCTTGTAGAGAACGAGAAAACAACTTTTCCCAAAGTTTTCAGGGTATGTATCATGTTAAATATGATATGTTTACATTATAAAAAAGTGAATTTTAATGGTATAAAACATTTGTAAATGATATATGTTTTTACCGTGGCACTGACATATAAACCTGGACGTTGCAATGATCTTTGACTTTGATATCTAGTTAATATTATTGCAGACCAAAAGATTATCCTATCATGGACATTTGAATGCAACTTTATGAAGAAACGATTCTGACTTCAAATAAACTTTCAAAAAGATATTTACTGATGGATTTCAATTTTACAAAGCTTTTATAAATGATATACTTTTGCATTGAAAAGATGGTTCAATGATATGATGGCTAGCTAAATATAGTAATTGCAGAGGAAAACATTATCCTACCTTTGGCATCTGAATGCAGGTATTTCTTGCTCTCAGTATGGCAGCAATCGGGGTGTCACATACGAGTACCCTCACATCAGATTCTTCCAAAGCAAAATCAGCCGTATCTTCTATATTTGCCATCATGGATCGAAAATCAAGGATAGATCCAAGCGATGATGCTGGGGTAACCCTGGAGCCACTAAGTGGCAACATCGAATTTCGGCATGTGAGATTCAGATATCCAACACGGCCCAATGTTCAGATTTTCCAAGACCTATGCCTGACAATTCAATCTGGAAAGGTACTAAACATCTTAATTTCTCAGGATTACAGTGTTATTTGATTTCAACCAATCATCATATAGCGTACAAGTTTATGAAACCGAACCTAGCTAACTGTTTGCGTTTTGTGTCTTACCTCTGCCAGACTGTTGCACTTGTTGGAGAGAGTGGTAGTGGCAAATCAACAGCGATAGCGTTGCTGCAGAGATTCTATAATCCTAACGCAGGCCATATACTCCTAGATGGAGTGGACATACAGAAGTTCCAGCTGAGATGGCTAAGGCAACAGATGGGGCTGGTGAGTCAAGAACCATCGCTGTTCAACGACACGATACGGGCAAACGTTGCCTATGGAAAGGACGGGCGAGCAACAGAATCAGATATCGTGGCTGCCGCACGGTTGGCAAATGCTCACAAGTTCATCAGTTCACTGCATCAGGTAACAATGCCTCAAATGTACTACTGCTTACTGCCTCCTCTGAACTAGATGAGATGTTAAAAATGTCACCTTACAGAGATCAGCTGTTACCTGAACAATGCAGGGATATGACACCATGGTCGGTGAGCGTGGGGCTCAGCTATCAGGAGGGCAGAAGCAGCGCGTCGCCATTGCCCGCGCCATCGTTAAGGATCCCAAGATCCTTCTGCTCGACGAAGCGACAAGCGCGCTCGATGCAGAGTCTGAACGGACAGTGCAGGACGCGCTGGACCGGGTGATGGTGAACAGAACAACAGTGATCGTGGCGCACCGGCTGTCCACAATACAGGGCGCGGATGTGATCGTGGTGGTCAAGGATGGCATGATCGTCGAGAAGGGGAGGCATGACGCCTTGATCAGGATCGAGGGTGGCGCGTACGCGTCCCTCGTCGCGCTCCATTCAGCAGCGCCGTCATAGCACGTGGCAAGGTCCAGGCAGAAGCGATAGTCTGAATTTGTGATAGGCGAGCAAGCAAGACTGGCGGCTTAACAAAGTAGAGGCGTTGGTTTTTCTTGTCCAGCACCTGGTGGCAAAAAAATATATGAACTCTGCAGCATAGCTAAGCAGGAAAGAAGATTACACAAATAGCAATGTAGCAATCCTGTCTAAGTCACTACTAATATGAATACAGATATTCAGTGTAACAAGCATATACTGAATGCAGTATATATATTATATAATAACAACAAAGATGTAGATGATGGTGGCATCTCCTTACCTTTGCCTTGAGTTCATCCCAGTTTGAGGAAAAGCTTAGCCTTCACTCCTTCAGGTGTGCCGTCGCTCGGAGGGGCAGACCATGTGGCGACAGATCAAGTGTGGAGAAGCAACCTATCACAATTCCGTCACCATAAAACTGTAAATGATTTCAGAAGACGCTGAATTCGAGAAAATCCGCCGGTGAATCCTCCTGCAAGCAACAAGACGCTAAACTAAGAAACCAATAAACCCTAGAGAAGATGAGCAGCATCTAAGCCTGCAGAAAACATTTTGGTTCTCTGTCAGAATCATTAGAGAAAAAAGGGGCACGGCAAGTTCACAGGTAGCAATCCAGCCCGCCATCATCAGGATCAACCAATTCGATCTGCGCCTCCCTCGCTCTCGAGTCTTGAATCGGAATCGGCCCGACGACCCCAGCTCTTCTGAAAATTTTCTCTCGCTTCAGTCTACCCTCTACCGTAGGCAGGATCCACGCGGCCGTCCATTCCCCGCACCCCAGCGCCCGACCGCCAGGATCTTCGAACGGCACGAGCGAGGCAGCCGCCGTCGCCGGCCACTCAGCGCGCGCCACGTACGCCACCAAGGGGCATAACGGTAAAATCCCAAGCCAAAGCAGCGTGACGTAGGAGCTGTTCCGAGTCTGTCTCTCTGCGCAACCATATATTTATACAATTTTAACATATAAATTTTTTTACTATAAAATTAAGATCGCCTTCATCTTTCTTCTATATCTAGTCTTTTTTTATCTTCGAACAATTACAAAATCACAAATTATAAATCACATATCACATAAAACAATTTCGTCACGGGTCGTCGCGTCGTGAGGAAAACAATTTTATTTTATAGAAGGACAAAATTACAAAGCGGTCGTCATGTCGTCGCGTCGTGGGGCCCTGGCACGACCACGCGTTCGCGTTCGCGTTCTCTCTCTCTCCCTCTGGGCCCTGGCAGGCAAGGCCTGCCCGTTCGTCGTGGTAATCTGACCGACGCAGACAAACCGAGCAACGATCCGGTGACTCAAACACTTGTATAGCATTTCTGTTCTATAATAATAAACCTGTAGGTGACTCAAAACGGTCTCTCATGAAAAAAACCTGTGAAAAAAGTTTTTGGACAAATTTGTGGCGTCGGCAGCCGCAAATTTGATGTGACGGAGAATCTTCTTTTTTGCATAGTGTCAAAATTAGGAGTTTTGGTGAACTAAACAAGCCCTTGTATAGCATTTCTGTTCTATAATAAACCTGTAGGGGAAAAAAAAAGAATAAAAGGGACAAACTTGTGGCGTCGGCAGCCGGGCAAGGTCTCGCCGTCGCCATGGAGCTCACCGGCGCCGCGCTCCGGCGATCCGCGCTGCCGTCGGCGTCCCCGGTGGCCGCGAGGGTGGGGAGGAGGAGGCTCCCGGCCAGGGTGGCCTGCGTCGGGGGCGGGGGTTTCGCGGAGGAGGGGCACCTCAGGTACTACGAGGCGGCCCCGCGGAGGAAGGCGGTGGAGGCGGTGGCGAGGGACCTGGGCAAGCTCCGGGCCATGGGGCTCGTCGCGGGGGACGCGGCCAAGGAGAAGGTCCTCTCGGTGAGCCCTCTGTTTCTCCCCCCTCTTCCTTGTAGTCTTGTTTGTGTTTCGATTTGGGAAATGGATGAAGGATCTGAGTAAGATTAGTAGCCTGGCCTTGTGGTGGCGCCTGCTGCAATTAATTGCTTCCTGTGGATGAATTCGGGCGCGCTGTGAGGATAATCATGATGATGATTTAAGTAATATGGTCGATTTGGTATACGAATGGTAAAAATTGCTACGTTTTATTACCAACTAATTTCAGGTCCTGCTGGTAACCCAACGGTTTTTAAAAGAAATTACCAGCGCATAATACTTGGACTGAACATGTGTATTATCAAGTGTTGGTAATTGGTTTACTTGATAGTTTTGTGTTCTCGATGTGTGTTGATTGAAGCTCTTAAGTTGAGTTCTCATTTCTTTGCACCTGTACACGCAGGAAGCCACAGATCTGCTGCTGCAGGAGCTGAGCCAGATGAAGGATGAGGAATACAAGATAAAGACGGTAGAGAAAGAAGAGAAGGCTGCTATGGAAGCACTGAAGAAGGAGAAGGACGCGAAGAAGACTGCCACTGCGATGATTAAGTGTGAAGAAGATGAGTCCTCCTCTGAGTCAAGTGAGAGCGATTGCGAGGACGAGGCAACCATGAACGTTGAGCCGGGCATGATGATGTCAACAGCGATTCCCGAAGTTGTTGCATCAAGCATCGCAGCTGTCTCCGCGATGGAGTGTGATAAGGCTGCAATGAAGGCCATGAAGAAAATGGAGAAGGAACAAATGAAGGCCATGAAGAAGATGGAGAAGGAACAGAAGAAGGCCGCGAAAAAGGCCATGAAGATGGAGAAGGAAGCAATGAAGATGGCAATGGCTACGCTGAATGGCTGCAGGGATGAAGACGATTCCTCATGCTCATCAGAGTCCAGCGAAAGCGAATGCGAGGGGCAACTTGTCAGGATGAGCCGCTGCGCTACAATCACAGCACCAGAAATGCCATCTCCAAGCACAGGTCTCCCCATCATAGTTCCTCAAATTCCAGCACCTTTGGCACCGGAGCCATCTCAACCTTCAGAGCCAGCAACCGCGGTGCAAGCCACCAGGGTCAGCAGCGTTGCAGTAGCTGAGACATCCACAACTAGCAGAATTGAGGTCTGCATGGGCGGCAAATGCAAGAAGTCAGGCGCGCTTGCTCTTCTGCAGGAGTTCGAGAAGACTGTGGGTACTGGAGGTGCGGTCGTCGGCTGCAAGTGCCTGGGGAAGTGCGGCCTAGGTCCCAACGTGCGGCTGAGGAGTGACGTCTCTGCAGACAGTTCTGCAAAGGGGGATCCACTCTGCATCGGTGTAGGTTTTGAAGATGTTGGCACCATAGTGGCAGGTCTCTTCGGGGACGCTGATCTGGGCATGACACCCACCTAGACCTGGTTGTACTACCTAGACCTAATCGCACTTCAAGAGAAGCTTGTATTCACAGATGTTGCACTGAACAAATGTATAGTGCAGATCAGCTACGGCCTTGCTAGGCTGCTAGTGCTAAGTTTATGTACTATACGTCTATATAGAACATGTGTGGTAATCAATGTTTCTTATCTGTATATATTTGACTGCGATTGTTTACATGGTTTTCAGATTTGAGCATCTGGGACTGGGACTACATAGGGATGTCTAGGGATGGTTAATGTTAATTTTCTCCACTGTCTGGACGAAGAAATAACTGGAACTAGACAACTAGTGTCTGAGGTTATTGGATTCATACAAGTTTTCAATGATAAGCTCTTGCCCATCTTCATTACTTAATTTATCTTCTGCCCCAGCTAAGAAAAGTTAGCCGTTGCTACTTGATTTCTCTTTTATTGACTCTGGACTGTTTGCCCTGTGTTGTTTTTTCTCCATTTGTACACTATATGGCCAGATCTGTTGTTGGACCTGTCTACTACTACTGCTTGTGGCTTTGGACAAGCTATGCTGAAACTTTTGGAAAGTATCAATAACATTTGAAATAATTAGTTCCGAGACATGAGAAGTGCGTCGATTGTTTTATAATTTTTTGAGCTTATTTATGTCTTGGATCATTTAAATATATACTCTAGTAAAATATAGTGGTCAAAGTTGCTTAAAAAAATAGTGGTCAAAGTTACACATAGGGTATCTGTTTTCTTGATATTCTTCAAATAAAACAGCAGACATGTGTCAACAATAGGACACAATGATGCATCACTACCAATTGTTTCTCTTAATGTTAATTATTATTACTCCCTCTGTTCCAGATTATAATACGTTTTGGTTTTCTAGATATATTATTTTTGCTATATACCTAGACATAGTGTATATCTAAGTGCATAACAAAAACTATATATCTAGAAAACCAAAACACCTTATAGTTTGGAACGGATGGAGTAATAGGTAGGCATGTTTCGTTGTCTGCTAAATTCATGGCTTTTTGATGTTTTTGTGTGCGTGCGTGCGTGCGTGAATTGATTTAGATCTGCATATGTAAATTCAAATTCGAAAGTCTTGGAAATGCTTTCTCAGCTCCCATGCAATTTGGTCTATATGTCCTGGTGCCTTACATATCGTGGTGACACTGAACCTGTGGTTGCCGCGGTCACATTTTGGTTACTGGCCTGTGTGACTGGCAGATTGAGATGAACTATCTCATTCTCATTGGGGAGAGCTTCCAGAGTTGGCGAAATCTGAAGTGGCATGCCTCCTGGAGGGCTAAAGACATCGTTTCTAACGTTTATTGATGAAGATACTGGAGAGGTCTTAGGGCATTCGTAACATGTATGGCCAGCCACAACCTTAAGCTGAGACCCACACCCACCTCAGATAAGGTCTCTCATTCTTAAGTTCGAGGTCTAAAACTTTTCAATGCAACAAAAAAAAGTATGGAAAAACTTTATTTTTGAGATCACCAGATACTACAGTTCACCTTTTCATCTGAGCAACTGAACCATGTTGGGATAAATAAAAACTGGTTGTACATAAGAGATAAGTTTTGAGGACAACTATATGCTTAAATTGTTGGTAGGAACCCGAGAGGCTGCCAACAACAGAATGCCGGTAATGCCCAACACCATCAGTATCATCCCGAGTAGTTGGGTCCATTCTCAAAGAGAGAATGTCTAACATCTGGAGTGCACAACCATCTCGT